CTTAAAAGTATTTACACCATGGAAATTGGCTGCCAACAAGTCAAGCCTGCTTTCCCCTGTCCTCTGTTCAGCCAAGTTATTAGGCATGCATCATCACATTACTATCTATACGAAATACGTTAGGTTGTCAGGAAAGTTATGACACATTTTTTGCAAAGAAAAACAAAAAAATACATTATGACTTTCCCAACAACCTAACACTTTGCAACAGATATTGAAGTGAGCCATCAAAGTTCCAGGAGCAGGGAGTGTTGAGGACGCTTCTCAGCTACACCTTCTCTCTGAATTGTCCTTAGCTTCAGGGAGTTATTTTGCCCAGAATAATGTCCTTTCCACAGTGGACAATCTGGTGAATGTCTCTACAAAGACCTTAGTCCCTAAAAGGCCATCCGAGCTCCCTCAGTACTTCTGGAATGAACTAATGTTTTTGGTACACCTGCATCATGGTTTAACATCTCCCTTTGCCCTGTCCTGCTTTCTTTTCCCTCTCTTACAGATGTTGCTCCTGAGAACAGGCCCACAAAACTTCTATACAAATATTTCTGTATCAGAGTCTGTTTCCAGGGAACCTGATCTAAGACATACACATAACATCACCTGGCATATAGTTACTGCTCAATAAATGCTAGTACTCAATATTGTATTTTTAGTCATCCTTTCACTGTACCTTAGTTCCTAATCTACTTCTGAAAGATAGAGAGAAATGGCTGCAGGTATCTTTTTAAGTTGAAGAAAAAATGATTCTGTAGTGGACAATAATAACGTAATGGCTACATCTAATCTTAGTTAACACTTCAAAATGCTGAAGATGAATCAAGGATTTGATGAAATCAAGCAAACAACTACAAATTCAAATCCTTTAAAGATTCAGAAAAAAAATTGTTAAACTTGACTCAGGTATTGAAATAATTTTAGGAGTTCTTCAAATTTAGGTTAGTGATTCTTAAACACATCTAATTTCCTTCCTTTCTTTCTTTCTTTCTTTCTTTCTTTCTTTCTTTAGAGAGATTTTTACTATCCGGTGGGTGTGTTCACCAGAGACACAGAGACAGAGAGAAAGAGAAGACACCCCTTATGGGGGATGGCCACACTGCAATTCTTTCTCTTCCATCTTTCTTCAGGATTTTGGGCAAGCATGCACATGTGCCCAACATGAGTTTCAAGACACTAGGTCTGGGACTAAATTTATGGTCGGCCATGTGGGAGTCCAAGTTCTTAACCACCACACCACCTGTTGGAACCAACACATCTAATTTCTTTTTAAAAAGAATTATTTTATTTAACTTTATTTATTTTATTATTTTAATTTGACCAGAGAGGGATAGAGAGAGAGAGAGAGAGAAAATGAGAAAACAAGCTGCCATGTCTGGGACTCGAACTGCGATTGGCCATGTGGGAGTCCAGTGCCCCTAACCACCACACCTCTTGCCAAGCCCCAAAACATCTAACTTCTAAGATGTTGCACGATGGAGTCTTGAACTGTAATGTGAATGCAAAATTGATACCACAGTTCCGAGAAGAGTGACTAAGTGAATGTTTCTTCAGTAATCTGATTAGCTGACAGAAACTTTTTTGGTCAATTAAAAAAATTGAGTGTAAAGGCCATGCTATTTCCCCCTGGGGTTGCAGAGAACCTAAGCATAATGCCTCTCTGGAGAGAATTAAGTGCAAGCCACAATCAAAAACCACTGGGCAGCCATTCACAACCTTCTCAAAAAGAAAATACTGTGTACATTCTTGGTTATGCATGAATGTCATGATGACAACGAAGGAATTAATTATTTTATTTGGAATCATAATATTTCTTAGAGCCCTGTGAGGAACTTAGCAATATTAAACCATAAGAATTCAAATATTGGTCATATGTTAAAATAAAATATCTCAAGCACATTAGGAAGTCAAATTAAAGCTTTTCTTTTCATGGACTGGAAAATGACATTAAAGATATATTGTTTGGTATCAGATTTCTAGTAAGGAATTCAGGCTCAATTAGCAATGTTTAGACTACATGCTATCATAAGAGAATTCTACCTTGGCTATTTTCCTATTCATTTGCTGAGTTATTAGTTTATTCAGACAACTCTGAACAAGATTCATAGAACGTATTGAGGATAGTGATGCAAGAAATTCCTCTTATAAAACTCCCAATTTTATGGAAAAGATGTACGTGTAAAGAAATCAATTCAATTCAAAGCAGAGGTGATTGAGTGGATATGTTCCCAGAATACTTTCCTTGCTTCTGTAGATAACATCATACTGTTCTTTTACATCTTTGACCTCCATTAGTCTTTCCATATGACTGTTAGAGGCTACCAGAAGCAGAAATTAAATCTGCGAACACATCAGTTTCCAAGTGAGCCTATCTCAGGTCTGTACTGGAATTATCCCAACCAAGGTTTTTTGCTTTCTTATTTCTTGCATTTTGGATCTGGAAAGGTGTGAATAGAAGGCTACAGGCAGTTATTTTTCCTCTACTTACAGAAGATAGCCAAGGCCAAAAAAAATATGAAATGCTTTCCAAGTTCATGCCATGAAACCCCCAAGAGCTGTTCCTATCACTGATTCTGAAAGCAACCTGGGTATCCTTCCAGAATAAGTTTGAGTTTCTTTGACTCTCAAAAGAATGTGTTCACTATATAGTGCATGGGACCAGGCACACTTCCAGGTTTTGTGGGGTCCAAGACTTACACCATTCAAGCCTCTTAGACAAAAAAAAAAAAAAAAAAAAAAAAAAAAAAAAAAAAAAAAAAAAAAAAAAAAAAAAAAAAAAAAAAAAAAAAAAAAAAATTAGTTCAACCAGGTACAAACATGATTATTTACTGTGGAAGAGAGAGAAATAGAAGTTACTAGACCCTGGGAGGGCCCTGTCTTTGGTAATTTACATGCTATACAGAATTGCATTTTAGTCGCAGACATCTCCCCTGTCCATGCAGTACTCTACAGTAATCAGCAACTCCTGGAACACAAAGAGGCTTATGCCAGTGAGGGATGCTGACGTGCGGGCTACGCTACATTCCAGTCTGCCTCCAGCAGTCCATATGTCTAAAGCACTGTGGGACAAGAAAGAGAAACAGCAAGGCTGGCACCAGGAAAGGTTTCTCAGAGGAGTACTCACAGGATGATTAGTCAGCCGGCTAAAACAGAGGATGTGGGCAGGAACTCAAGCTTGTGTGAATTCTTTGCACCATATCATGACCTCAAGAAGTAGGGGAATGTTTAGGACTGTTTACCTTATTTCAATTTAATGACAAATGAACAGAAAAGGTAATTGCAGGAGAGCCAGCTGAGGATCCGTCTTCATATAACCCTAGAAGATGCCTGTTAAATTTGTGCTTTTCCTTCTCCTCTCTGCTCTTCTTCCTTCTGTATATTCTTGGTCTTTGAGCTTCTAGGAGGGAGGATACTTCAAAGCCCTGTTTTGGGGATTTTTATGTACATCATATGCTTTCTATTCTCGGGATACTTTACTAAATCCCAATATTTTGTCCTTGTCCTTAAAATAAACACACCACTCAAAACGGGAAGAATAAAGGAGCACAACAATAACAAATGACAGGGCTTTTCTCTTTTACCCCAAGATCCTTACGATAGCAAGAAGCTTAATAAGAACAACAAATGCTGCCCTTTTCAATATGAGACCTATGTCACCAAAAGTTCACTAGTGTGGTGCTGGATGAAGTAGGGTAGTTTAAAACAGAGAAGAAAAAAATTAAGTAGAAAACAATGACACTCCATATACTTAAAATTTATACTTAAAGTTAAAATTAAATAATCAAATAAATTGAAGTTTTCACAGAATTTACTACTTAGAACTTTTTCTTTTGGAGAGGATTTTCGCTATAGGGTGCGTGCGCTTGCCAGACAGGCAGAGAGAGACGTAGAGACAGAAAGCGAGAAATCACCCCCCAGGGGGGCTGGTCATGCCGCAATCCCTTCTCCTCCATTCTCCTCTTGGGATCTTGGGCACGCACGCACACGCGCCCTGCATGAGTTTTAAGCCACTGGGTCTGGGATGCAAACAGCGGTTGACTACATGGGAGTCCAGCGACATAGCCACTATGCTAACTGCTGGTTCCCGTACTTAGAACTTTTGAAGTTTTCTTTCATTTTTAAAATTTTTTCTGGAGGATACATGCATTCACTAGAGAGAGAGAAAGCGAGGAGACAGAGGAAACAGAAAGTGACCCCAATAGGGCACACCACAATCCCTTCTCCCTTTCTCCAACTTGTTGGGATTTAGGACATGCATACAAACACATGCCTGGTGTTTCTCAAACAGTTGGGGCTAGGATTTCAACCATAGATTGACTATGTGGGATCCAGCTTCCTTAACCACCAGTCCATGAACCTGGCTCCACAAGATTTTTGATATGGAAAAAGAATGAAGGTTTAAACTCTGTTCTCATATACTTCCTTTTCCTGTTCAGATCCCCCCCAATATATCTATCTATATAGATAGATAGATCTATATCTTTATATCTAAATAAATTACTTTATATCTAAATAATTTACTTATTTAGATATAAAGATATAGATATATATCACTTTATTGGGGGTATTATGAGCTTGGTGAGTCCTGTTAACTCTAGGCAGGGCTAGTTCTCCTTAGTTAATAGTAGAGTAGAAACTAAAGAGGAAAGAGAAATTCTAGTTCTTAGAATTGTGAAGGGCAATTTTGCATATTCTAGAGAACTAGGTTTGTAGGACCTATGGCCAAACTAAATTTCAAAAGTTGGCTTTGAAATTTCTACAGCAGGACAATTGAGCTTCTACAGGACTCCTGCGCCATCCCACCATTAGATGGTAGGCACTACCAGACATCCTGCCCTGCCAGGCTGTGATGCCCACTCCAGGCAAGTATCAGAAAGCCACTGGCCAAAGCAAATGCTGGCATTTTCAGAACTTCCTCTGCTCCTCCCTGTACTGGCTTTCTGCTGAGCCCTGTCTTCCTCCCTCCACTAGCAGACACTGTTGAAGGTGCTCTTATCTACTCAAGATAGATTGTGACCCTCCTAGGCCTGTCCTCCCGGTGAGCGCCCAGCGTCTTCTGTGTTTCCTGATCCCTTCATCCATATCTCTCTTCAATTCTCCCTTGACTCAGGTAAGATCTTCCAAAATAATGGTCATCATTAAGGGACGATCTCTCTGCTGTTGTAGGTTTCGAACTCTGTAAGACTGGCAACTTACTTTAGAGTGCCTTCCAGTCTCGTACACAGCTGTGGCCATCTGGTAAAACCAAACTGCAGTGAGCCAGGATCTCTGATGAGAGGAACAGGGGCATAGCAGTTAGTATGCCCCACGTCATTTATGGGGAAGACACAGCTCCCAAAATAGACTCCTGCAATTGGAGAAGGAGTACTTGAACTGGGAAGATGAGACTACCTGAAAAGTCTACCTAGTGAAAGGATCACCACAGTGCAGACCAAAATAGCCATATTCTGAAGTTGGCTTGTCTAGGCAGTGAATTTTCAGGGACCAGGTAGGACTATAATTTCCATTTGTCCTTTCATGTGACCTTTCTCTATTTCTTACCAACCATGAAGCACCTGGACTTGATGTGGAGGCAGTAGAACATCAAGTTCAGCTACAAATAAAATGTAGTAGACAGGTTCGCTTCTCTGATAATAGTCTGCCTTTATGTTGCCACCTGTTATGTGTATCTCAGTGTACGTGAATTGAGTTAGTGTATGTGGAATGTCTCCCATGTGACATTCTGGGCACATTGATAGATTACAAAAGATATAGAAGGTCCAGGACCTGCCATGTGGGAAACAGGATTAACTCCCAAGAGCTGCTTTATCTTTCGCTTTTTGGTTGATTTTTTTTCTTTTTTTCAAGACAGGGTCTTGCTATGTTGCTCAGGCTAGCTGGGAACTTGCAATTCTGCTTTAGTTTGCTAAGTAGGTGCGATTACAAGTGCACACCATGACACCTGGCTTTATGACTCTTGTTAATGCAACAACAGACTGCAAGGTGTAACATCCTATCTTAATGGACCTATCAAATAGAAACAAACAGATGCTATGATCATATGTATCTGAGAACATTCAGGTCTTCCCAGCCCTCTATATTTGTTACCTCACACTCTTT